CGATTGAGTAAGGTGCAATTTGTAATTCAATTTATTTCCTCCTTTGTGTGTTCCCATCTTTTTCTGGAATCTGCACAACATAGCTACCTAGCTTTTTGCTACATCTGGAATATTTTGAACCAATTATCTTTTGGTCTTATTTTTAACGTAAAGTGAAATTAGCTACCTTCACTTTTTTTTTTAGTTAGTATCTGTAAGTTGAATTTATTTAATAATCATTTAAATCACAAAATGCAGACAGTTGAGAAGAGGCCTCGAGAAATGATGCTGAGGCGAGAATTTGCCAATGCAGTAGGGTACTTGAATAACATTCTTACAGAAGAAAATCATCTTAAGTTTATCCACTGGGACTTCCACAAGTTTGCAAAGAGGTAAAGAACTAATAATTCGCTCTTGCTCCTCCCAACATGCATCCCTCCTCTGATCCTGTCTTTTTCTCTAACCCTTTATTAAAGATAACTTGTAACTAACGGGTTCTTTTTTTATGTTGGTTGATATCAAAGTAAATCTGCCAATGTTTTGGCTGTTTTGGGTGCTGTAGCAAGTGAAGCACTTGATATGACTGGTTTTTACTACAGCGGTAAGCCTATCACTGTTAAGAGGAGAGCCACCCAGATAAGTCGTACAAGCACAGGAAGGTATTACATGTACTTTTGTAATTGTTATGTACTTAAATATGATTATTTGCTGCACTTATAGCAGATAAAGCAGTTGGTGTATCTTCTGATGCAGAATAAGAAGTTTGGAAAAGATTTTCAATAGGATAAGTTTTTTATAATAATAATTAGATAGATTTTAAGGACTACTGGAATTAAAATCTTTTAGATTTATTCTTTTATAATTTTTTTTAATTAATTGTAGCTAATGCTTATATGAAGAGTCTAGCTATTAATAATGGAGTAGACGGCAATGAATTAAAAATTTCTTTGCTAGGATTTCTTTTCATGTTACCTCACTGTGTTTGTTCTTTTAGTTGTTACTTATTCTAAATTATCTCATTCAGTCTACTTCTTTCTATTTCTTTTTCATTTCGCTCTACAATTTCTTATGAAGTATCTCTTTTTTTTTTTCTCTTTTCTTATTCTCTCCAAAATTTACTCTATTTATAAACTCTCCTCAGGACAAGTAGTTCATGTGCTACTCGTCCTTAGTATTAACGTTTGACTTCTATCTCTACCTTTTGACGCTGTTACACTGCAAAGAAAAAAATCGAGGTTCTTCCACCACGTCCAGTGAAAAGAAAAAGTTCCTTTCTGAACAAAGAACAAATATTTAATCGAACAAATAAAAAGTAGAAGTTGTACATCCTACCCTATATCAGATTGCCAACAATCACTTGGTAGTGGCTTAAGTTGCAACTACCTTTTGAACCAGAGACCAATGATGTTCTATCGTCCTTCATTATTGGAGATGTCTAAACGTGCCACTCGAAGCATGAGTTTATGGCTCTGCAAGACCCTCTGGTTTTAGATTGTAGTGACGACCACTGACCAATAATCTGCAACCCTCAATGCTGAATGGCCCTTTTGTCGGGTGCTCAACCCTCATTAGTGAATTGGAACTGACATACATAACTCACGTGTGCAGCTAAGACTGGCATTATGTGTTTACCTGTTTATTTATTTTGACCAGACTAATTTGACCAGGTTAGCTTTGACCCTTTGTAACAGATTTCTATGGTTTTCCGATATGTTCTACCAATTTCTGTGGTTAGTTTGATCAAATTCACACCTTAGGATCGTCTTTAGAGTAGATAAGTTATTAAAGGTGACAACTCGACATGGAATCCGACAAACTTTTAGTTACCAATTTATATTTAATCTACATGATTACATATGATGTGTTGTGTCAAGTTTTTGATCCTTATGGATGCATGGACACTATTGAAATACATTCACTAGTAATTCTTATCTAATATCAATATGTTGAAGATGCTATATATGCTAAAATTCTCTGAATAGCCTTCAGATATATGATAACTGTTTTCAGTTAAATATTGAGTATGAATTAGGCTTATACTCACAATTTGTGATAGCATGAGATTTTACGAAGAATCCAAAGTTGATCTTAGGAGTAGAATTAACACTTCCCTTGCATTAGATGATGAAAAACTTGAAGTTCATCTTGAAGCACCGTTTATTGGTGTTGTTCCTGTTCATGCTAATGATGTTGAGCAACTTCATTCGATGATCTTGTTTGACCTCTTAGTTTTATGATCTTAAAAAGCCTGATTTCAATTAACTTTTAGTTTTTTCTGTGAAGATTATCGAAAATTGTAAAGAGTATGTTTGAGTCTTTCTTATCTTGATGCCTTGCCCTTCGAATTTCAAGGTCGAGTTTTCACCAAGTTGGGTGGATTGATGCAGAATAAGAAATTATTTTGGAATAATTAATTAAAGAGGTTTTGTAATAATCATAATTATTTTCTATTTTCAATTTATGTGGAATAATATTTTAGTTTATCATAGGAATAAGTTGTTTAGATTTCTTCTTCTACAAAATTTCTTAATTACTTGTAATTAATGCCTATATAATGGCAGTTGTTCTTAACAATAAAGATTAGATGATGTTGGATTAATAATTTCCTTGCTGGGGTTTTATTCATTGTCACCTCTATATTTGTTATTCTGTTATTATTGTGTCTAATGGATACTGTTCAGTCTACTTCTTTTTGTACTTTTTCACCTTGGTCTCTTATTTCCTGTGACCAATCTTTGTTGTTTATTTCTTAAATTGTTCTTTATTTCTAAACTATTTCCAGGACGAGTACTTTAATTACTACCTGCCCTGCCTTACCTTCTTTCTTTCAATTGTGGTCAGCATCTATTCAGTATCTGTGATAGAATATCAGGTTGATTATAGATGTTGGCTCATCCATTGTTATTTATTTAATTTTAGTTTGTAGTAGAGGTGGTTCTCTTAGCAAGGCTTGAATCTGCATTCTCCCCATGGAGAGATAAGTACTAACTGGACTAATGTCTAATGATCATGCAATGATAACACAACAAATCTTTTTATAAATAAAATGTCACCTTCTTTGTTACAACTATGGTTATGAATACTCGTGTCTAAGTATTATAGATGGGGAATCATACTTATTGCTTGTTTACAATATAATCAGCCATGGAGGGCGTTGGTAAGCAGGGAATGAACCCAAGTAGAGAACTTGACCCATTCTCTTGGATGGGAAGGAGTGAGCAACTGAGCTGACATTCAAGTCGTCGACTATATTGTTGATTGTCATCAACTATGTTGTTGATTATATGTCATTGACTGTGATTATATTGTCAAATATTTTCTTTTAGGAATTTTACATTTTTTTTAGAGAAAAGGATTATTTTTTTGAAATATTTTAGAGAAAAGGATTACACTTTTTAGAAAAATAAAAAAGAAATTATGTTAGAAAGTGGAAAGGAACAAGGTAGGAGGACAAGGAATCCTCCAAAGTAGAACAAAGGGGAAATCCTAAAAAGACAAATACATGGACAAACTTAAAAAGTCATCAAGAAAATATTGTAGTTAAGTTATTTTGTAAGATGGATATGGTAAATGCTGACGGTAAATAGCATTGCGTTCCAACCCCAAAACCATGTACTTGTAAAAAGCACAGCTCTCCATAAAAGCTTATGCTCCTTAACGTACATTTGATCTAATATACAGGAACTCTTGGGTAGGCTTAGTGTAGCTCTTAGATTTTTATTTCATGAAGCTGATCAAATAACAAACGAAAAAGAAAAAGAAAAGCCATATTTTATTAGCACTATCAATGTGCGAAAGAATTCATAGGGCTATGTTATGAAATTATGGCACATTCCATTTGTTGAATGTAATAACAGAATGGAATAGGATAACTATTCGGTAGGAATAGGATGAACTTAAGAGTATAATTTTCATTGCATTAGATTGTCTGGTTTGAATGTCAGAATAATAGTTATATTGATTGCTATATTGTAATATAAGTAGAATAAGATGTAAATGATTAAAATACTCTTATCTATTACATCTTTTTTAAAATAAAAGAGAAGTATTATTATGCACAAAGGTATCAAGGGGTACAAAATACCCTTATCTATTACATAGGTTATATTAATTATATTTTTATTTAATTTAATTCAGGTAGTTAAAAAGTCTTAAATTTTATAATTCACTTATTATAGAATAGTTAATTAATTTACTAATTATAATGAAAATAAAATTAAAAATTAGGTAAAAATTTAAATTAATAAAAGCCTAGAAAACAATTTTTCTTCTTTCAAGACCTTTTGTTCATCTTCTCTGCACCTCCTTTCGAAAGAACAGCATAATTTTTCAAAATAACTTCATCATCTTGTGCTCTTACATAAAATACCATTATCAATGGCTACTTTGCACACCAAACCATCAATGGCCACTCCGCAGATGCACCATCAATGATGATGCCTGTCACACCAAAATTAATCATCTTCATCACGCTCACTTGCCAGAACTTTACTCTCTCTCCTCATCTCTGTTCTTGGTAAGGATTTTTGTTTGGATAAATTTAAATCTTTAATTGGTAAGAAGAGAAGCATAGATTTTCATTTTACTAGAAATATAAATCTTTATGTGCTCATTGTTTGTTCTTGTATAGATTGTTGATCAAAGAAGAGTAGGTTTTTTGAAAAGATTGGTGCTGGTCTGTTATCTATGGAGAATAATATGTTAATTTTGAAAAGGGTAAATATCGGTATTTTTTATAGAATGAAAGGGCAAAATAGTATGCAAGTATTGAGGCAATCTCTTGATGGTGATTCATATCCACTTGATCGGATTAGGGAATGCCTGTTTAAAATTTTAAATCCATTGATGTGTATTTCATGTGATATTTCAAAAAAATTAAGAGTACGGTTGAAATTTATAAGAATTCATTAATTGTCTTTTTTATATTTGACGAAGTAAATTTTGTTGTTCGGAAAAGCAATCACATGGTTGCTTTTCTTAACCAATCAGTATTTGCTTTTTTCTAAATGAATAATTTTGCAAAAAAATTAATAAATATTCAGCAAAAAGGCATAATTGCGCTTTGAAAAAATGAAGCTCCATAAACACAACTAGATGAAGCCAAAATCATTTTGATCTATCCAATTGATGATGTATAATTCTCTTATTTTTTTAATCTAAGCTCATCTTATTTTAGGGATACTTCTCTTCGAGAAATGAGAGCTAATTCAGGGGACCTTGCAAGAATTGGAAGTAGTAATGAGAGTCTGAATTCTGTAGCTAACCGAGACAAAGAGGGTGATTTAAGTCAGCAAGGTAGAAGAGAGAATAATGAAGGGAGAAGAGATAATAACGATGGTTATGGTACAGCACCACGTTTTCAAAGTGGAGTTCTGCGCACAAACTGTATCGACTGCTTGGACCGTACAAATGTTGCTCAATATGCTTATGGCCGGCAGCTCTAGGTCGTCAACTCCATGCAATGGGTTTGACGGACATGCCCAAAGTTGACCTGACAGTAGCATTGCTGCAGCTCTTATGGATATGTATCAGAGCATGGGGGATGCTCTTGCACAGCAGTACGGCGGCTCTGCAGCTCATAACACTGTATGATTACATGTCTTTTTCTTTTTTTGGAGATGTCTATGATTACACGTCCTGAATTACTATTAAAATTGACTCCCAGAAAGGAAAGTGATATTGTTTCTATGAATTTAATGTTTTGCATAGATTATTCATTTTCTTTTTCCATCTACCTACTATTGTATTATTGAGCTTGCATGTGCCTGTTTGTTGACATTGTTAAGACAATGGCTCACCATGAATTCAGGTTTTTCCTGAGAGGCAGGGAAAATGGAAAGCTACAACACAGTCCAGAGAGTTTCTCAAGTCTATCAAGCGATACTACAGCAATACCTACACTGATGGTGAAAAGCAAGATGCAATAAACTTGTAAACCTCCTCTCTTCATAATTTTTACTGGATTTAGAAAGATCTTTTGGGGCTGATACTAGTGGATAGATATGTAAAGTTCTGAAAGTTCTAGTTTTCTATTTTCCTTAACAGTAGATGGATATCAGAGAACTGAGTTTTTTGTCCCCGGACCTTTATTTATATGGGTTCTTAACTATGGCCTTCTGGTTGCTAGAGCAGATTCTTGGGCTATTTCCAACCACAAGAAGGGAAACCTGCTCTCTGGGAGTTGGATTCTGATTATTATCTTCATGTGTCTGGGATTGGAGACGATTTTTTCCCTGATGAGTGGTAAATTTCCACATTTCCACCTTAAATTTTTCTTTGAATAATGAGAGGTAAATTTCCACATTTCCACCTTAAAAACTATGGTCAAACTTGGCACCTCTCTCATTATTCAAAGAAAAAAACACGCATGAAAGCATGAAATGGGAGTTGTAGTTGAATTATGAAGCTTTATGTTGAAAAGATTTTAGTTTTGATCTACTCATGGCTTGAAAACTGTCATGTTTTCCTTGTTATGTTGATTTTTCCTTACCTAGTTGTGATCAGTACCTTTATAAAGGTATTAATCTAGAGAATAGAGCAGGTTGAGCTTATGGATTACTTTTCTGTCTGACAAATTGCAGTGTGCAAACTAACACGAAGCCTGTGGAAGGATTTGGAATGACTCTTGCCCCTGTTCCAGCTTGTAGAGAAGACTTCTTGCGGATGAAGTTGACATCATTTGATAAACTAATAGAGAGGACATGTAGTTCAATAAAGAACGTAAGACTCTGCGGTGAGCCAGATCAAAGACCAGCTGGTCTTGCTGGAAGTACTGGTGTGGCACCTGATGCAGCGTACTATTTCTACAACCTAAGCTGTCATTGGTTCAATTTCTAAAATCTTTATTTGCAGAATGATTCTGTTTCAAATATTTGATTATTCTCTCTCTCTCTCTCTCATATGGTTCTTATTAGTTTAGAAGACATTTATAATATACAGTGGTAGAATTAGCAACTGATTAGTCCTTTGGTTGCATGTTTAACTTGCTTTCTTTTCATGCTTAAAACAGTCCAAGTTTCTCAAAAGGAAAAAAAGAAGTTTCTGAACTGATTACTTTTTTCTGCTTTTAAAGAAAGAAGTTCGAGGGTGAATATTTATTGTATCAGAAATAATATTTCTGCACCTTGATTATGCATGTGCAGTTGATGAATGTTTTAATGATAACTAAGTCTGAATTTTATAATTTGATATGTAGCGAAATACAGCTCAAAAGCCCAAATTGGCTATTTGGCCAGAGAAAATATGAAGAAAATGTCTCTGCTCCCAAAGCTGCTACAGGTGAAACAGCAAATTGCGGATCTCATATTGAGACAGGATTTGATGGTTTCTGTAATTTAGATATGCTATCTTTGGGTGATATTCATGAAGAGGATATTTTTCAAAGGTAATTTAAAAATGCCTTTCTGGTTTACATAAGAAAGTGCTCCTTGCCGTGACATATTAACAAAGCATGATAACTTGAGTCAAAATGTTTGGTATTCTGGGACATGCTGATCTAATCTTTTGACGTCTCTTTAAAGAAAGGTCATAAAAATAGGTTTGGGGTTGTGGGTGGTGGAAGGGAGATATCATCTGTTTTCTTTTCTAAACAAGGCTAATAGCTTCTGCATTCAGCTCTTGTCTCACAGTGCTTATTTTTGTTTTCTGAAGGTACCTCACGGTAACCTCAGTTGATGAAGCTAGCGGTTGGTATGGTGGAACCCTACTTGGCGATCAAGATGAAAATAGCGAGGTGTATAAGCATTATGCTGAATTGTGTCAGGTAACGCTGATTTAACTCTCTAATGGTGTCATATGCATTTATACTTTGAATCTTCAACAAATTTATCCATCGAAAGAACTTGTACCAGCGGTACAAAATTCAAAATTTAGCTTCTTAAACTAATCTTTTGACTTCGTTTCTTTTTAGACAAAGTTGACAATTTTTGTTCTTCAAAGTAGTTATTTTCATCTTTCTTAAAAAAGAATTCTCATGAAAAACAAAACTATCTAAATTATCTTTAACTGTTTTGAATAATGCCTTTCCTATTCTATGTTACTGTGTTATTTATCTATAAAACGTCAAAATCAACAGGGCCCAGCCATGGAACCTTTTCAACATGATCCTGAGAGAGAGAAGCATTACGCTGACGTTCTACGCATGAATGCAATTGATGTTTTCGATGATACGGTCATTGAAGCAGAGATGGAAGTTGCTCTTAAGGAGTATGATCAAATTGGTGCCGATCTTGGGATCATCCTAATGCCATGTAACTCCTTTGCTGAAGATCCGAGTTGGTTGACCAGATGGATCATTGGAGAGGAGAGACTGCACAGGGGCTGAAACTGACTCCTCTTCGTGTATTTCTTCCTGGCTACAAGTAATAAGGACTCATAGACAAGTGCGCATAGACCCACATTTTGTCTGTTTTCTCTTTCTGCTAATGTATATGATAGGTTGCGCTGCTGTTTAGGTACCCATGGAAATTCACAGTTTGCCAGTAATGATAACATGCTTGTATATCGCCTTACATGATTAGGGCAAAGGTGTCAAAAGATTGAATTAACGGTGGCTTGTGTTTTTGGAGCTAAACCACTCTCTTGTGAAGTTGGAAGTAAACAACTAAAATTTGATTAATAGAATTATTTTATGCATTAAACCATTTTTTTTTTCTTTTTTTCCCACCTCAAAATTAGAATAATTAACTTGTATGGTTTCTTTGTGTTTTTTTAGTAACTAGCATAAAGGTCATTTCATGCCTGATAATAGGAAGTCTTTTACCAACCTGTTCGCATCACTTGTATTTTTCAGGGGCTCATTTTTGCTAATTTTGTTTTCCAAGAGGAAGGGCTACCGAGTATTTGCATTGGGATACCAATTTCTTTAAGGGAATCGGATGAATCGACATAATGTCTGTATGTTATTCAACTATCTTTCTCGTTGTAACAAGTTAAATTTAGGTTTTTCGAATTTTAAGAATTTTAGCGACGAAGAAGAGAAGTGAGAATTGCTAAAATCCTTGAGTTCATTTAACATCATTAACACATACTTCCTGATAGATTTATGTGGTTATTAACACAGTTTTATTTATATTATTACAAAGTACTGAAAGAAGTAGAATCTTACAAATTCGGCATAATAGTGTATAATAATTGATCATTATGTTTCAACATAACAATCCTGACTTGCATATACCTCTTCATTAGTTGGTTATGTTAGTACGAAGTAGGTGAGCCTACAAACTTTGCAACACTTTTTTTAATTTCTTTTGAGTCTATAGATTCCGGGCTACCTAAAGTCATTCCTTTTTTCTTTTTTGAGTACAATAATATATATATATCTTATGTTAAATGAGAGTTAAACATTTAACTTTTAACTTGTTAGAAGTGAAAAAGTAGTTTACCCAAATTCGAGATGTTAAAATCGATATCTTGATTTTGCTTTTTACTATATCAAATGACTTGGAAGAATGGATCAAGTTAAATTTATTCTAACAATTATTAAATGCATTACAATCAAATAATAATTCACAATGATATATTAATTAAATCCACTGTATTTTAATTAAGTATATATACGATATAAAGTGTACATGTTAATTAATTGGTATATGTAAATAACTAAATTGATTATATATCTTGAATATATTTATATTTACTTAATCATATTAATTAAATACATAAATTAAAATACTAAAACTAAAAAATAAGCTAAATGTGACTTAATGTGATAATACAAGCCAAACTTTATATAAATTTGAGTTCTTATTCTATCACATTACATAGTTTTGAAGCTGGATCCAAAGATTTTATAGGATTCTTAGTTTCTTAATTTCTTTTTTCTACTACATCATAAGGTATTGGAAGTGGATCAGGAGACTCTATGGGATTTGGACCACTTGGAACCCGTCTCAAAATTTCTTTCTTCGCCATATCAAATAACTGTGCAGGTGGATCATTTATGCGATTGAGACCACTTGGAACCCACCTTTTGGCTTCTCTCTTCACTATATTAGATGACTCCGGAGATGGATCTGGAGATTCAATAGGATTTGGACCAGTTGGAACTCGCCTCAAAATTTCTTTTTTTGCCATATCAAATGACTGTGCAGTGGATCATCTATACGATTGAGACCACTTGGAGCCCACCTCTTGGCTTCTCTCTTCACTATATTAGATGGCTCCGGAGATGGATCTGGAGATTCAATAGGATTTGGACCAGTTGGAACCCGCCTCAAAATTTCTTTTTTCGCCATATCAAATGACTGTGCAGGTGGATCATCTATGCTATTAAGACCACTTGAAACCCACATCTTGGCTTCTCTCTTCACTATATTAGATGGTTCCAGAGATGGATATGGAGATTCAATAGGATTTGGACCAGTTAGAACTTGCCTCAAAATTTCTTTCTTCGCCATATCAAATGACTGTGCAAGTGGATCATCTATGCTATTGAGACCACTTGAAACCCACCTCTTGGCTTCTCTCTTCACTATATTAGATGGCTCCGGAGATGGATCTGGAGATTCAATAGGATTTGGACCAGTTGGAACCTGCCTCAAAATTTCTTTTTTTGCCATATCAAATGACTGTGCAGGTGGATCATCTATGCTATTGAGACCACTTGAAACCCACATCTTGGCTTCTATCTTCACTATATTAGATAGCTCCGGAGATGGATCTGGAGATTCAATAGGATTTGGACCAGTTGGAACCTGCCTCAAAATTTCTTTCTTTATCATATCAAATGACTGTGCAAGTGGATCATCTATGCGATTGAGACCACTTGGAACCCACATCTTGACTTCTCTCTTCACTATATTAGATGGCTCCGGAGATGGATCTGGAGATTCAATAGAATTTGGACCACTTGGAACTTGCCTCTTTATACTCCACGAAGCAGAAATATCATTGTTGATTATATTACCATGCTGTTTTCCTATGATCAAAGAAGAAAACAAAATTATTAAAGCGAAAGCTCCCATAAAACACTTGTTAAAAAACTTCATATTGCTCATACGCTTTAAAAACACTACTATCACGATAATTCTTAATGTATATGCCAGCCATGGATTAGCTTCTTTATATAATCTAAAAAAGTTCCACGCATTCTCTTGTTTTTTGAAGGTCAAAAGAATTTAGTAAGTTACTATATTTAACTACGTGATTTCATTCTGTTATTTTTTCATATTTGATATAATTATATAATTATATATTTTGATTTGTTTCCAGATAGAATGTTGTGTGAAAGAAAGAAAAAATCTCTCATTTA